CTATCTTTCTGTGCTGCCATACTGGGTAAATGTCAGGCAGAAACAGCGTGGAGTCTTCACAGTGTTTCTCTTAACTCATGGCTGCAATTGGAAATCTATCCCCATCATTATGGTCAGATAACATGGCAGTTATGGTTTCCCTGTCCTTGTATTTGCAAGTGGGTTTTAAAGCAGCTCTCTGGAGAAGCAGTCCACATAAGTACAAGTACAATGTCCAGGAGGAAGGGCCTAAATTGAAAAAATGTGCAAGACTGAAGCTCGTACACGGACACCAGAAATAAGGATACTGTTCCGTTTATTTGTTCAATATACAAACTGATGAGATCCATACCACAAAGTATTTATAATGTTTGTTTAGAAGCTGTACAATTTTATTTAAGCTTTCTGACAACTGCAAAGATTTTTTGCTTTTCCCATATCCCCTAAAAAAGAGAGCTATAGATATTATCAGATTGAAGAAAGTCAATTTTTCTAAATTGAGAAGACTAACAAGGTATATAAATATTTTCCCCATTCTTTGTTAATATAGAAAAGCATGTCAGAATTGATCTGAACGTTGGAGATTGGAGGTATGTCTGACTCGATTCTTAGAAATCGTGGTGGGTTGATGCTGACGATTCTCCTTCCGCCTCAGGAAGACAGACGAGGAGGTGCGAGGGCAGCACCCTCTCACCATCTCAATGCTTTACATATCATGAGGGAAAACTGGCTAAGAATATAGACGTTTTATTTGACTGACTCTCTTTGGTCTTTATTGTATTTGGTCTTTATTTTTTCTCTTCACTACTCCAAAATTTCTAATGCAGTAATTTAGTGCCTTAGCAAAAAGCAAAGTAAAATAAAATATCAAATACTACATTCATTCATCTTCTTGAAGACTATAGCTGACTAGGAAGCACAATAAGTAACCAAAATCTATCTTTGCAAGACCATAGCTCAAAAAACCACTTTAAAATATGAATAGAAATACATCAATGTCCAAATATATTTTATTATGAGAAAAAAACTAGAGTCTACTAGGTAAATGAATAACTCAGAAAACATACCAGCTAGGTAGCAGGAAAAAGTTATCTTGCAAAATATAATATGTGAAAGAAAAAGAAAAGTAAGATAAAGTAGAGTATTAATGGGTTATAGAGAACTGCCCTACAGGGTTCGCTTGGATGGCCAGGGTTTTCTTCCACAGTGCAACTGGGTGGGTTTAAATCACCAGCCTTTTGGTTAATAGTGGAACACATATCATTTATGCAACCAAGAGACACAGAGGATTGATCTAATAAATTTTTCATTTTTCTTTATATAAGGAAATGTCTTGGTTACCTAGTACTGCTATAACAGAACTACCAGTGGCTTTCGTAAAGAGAAATTTATTATTTCGTTTGAGACTAGAAGTCAAAATTCCAGCACTGGGTCTAGAAGACTTTCTCTGTCAGTCCTGGAGGAAAGCCCTAGTCTCTTTTAACATCTGTGGGCCTGGCCTGCCTTGAAGACCTCCATGTGTTTTGTTATCAATCTTCCCTTGGGACTAGGAGCTTCCCAGTGCTGGGAACTGGGGTCCGAAGGGTCCACTCCACTCCAGAATCTTCTATCTTCATGGAAGTTAGGTATTTCTCTTTAACCAATGAGATTTTTTTCATCACTATAAACCCAAATTCATATCCTATAAGTAATAACTCTTCATTTCTTTCGCACTCACCTCTAACCATTAAGAAACTTTGGTCTCTACAGATTTGCCTGCTGTTGAATTTTTTAAGTGAGGTCATGTAATACTCATTTGTGTGTGTGTCTGCCTTATTTCATTCAGCATGTCTTCAAAGTACTAGCCACACTGTATCATGTATCCAGATTTCATTTCTCTCACTGCCCTTGTGTATATGTACCATATATTGTTTATCTATTTACCCAGTTTGGGGCTATTGTGAGTTAGTGCTACAAAGAAGACTGGTATACAACTATCTATGTGGGTCTCCGCTTTCAAACTTTTTGACTATATACTCCAAAGTTCAGCTATTGGGTCATATGGTAGTTCTATTTGTAGCATTTTGAGGAACTGCTGCAGTGTTTTCCACAATAGCTGTACCATTCTGCATCCCCAACAGTGATGAATAAGGGCTCCAACTTCCTTAAATCCCCACCAACGCATGCTTTAAAAAAAAATTTTTTTCAGCTTATCCATCCTCTTGAGAGTGAAATGGTATCTCGTTATGGTTTTGATTTATGTGTAATGACAGTGAGCATCTCTTCATATATCTGATGGCCATGTGATTGCTTTCGGTGTCTATGCAAGTCTTTTGCTCATTTTATGACTGGGTCATTTGTCTTTCTATTGTTAACTTGTCAAAGTTTTAGATATATTTTGGTTATATTTCATTCTTATTGGATATAGGGTTTCCAAAGATGTTCTTCCAGTTGGTAGTCTTTTCACTGTTTTTGGTACAGTCTTTCAATGAACATAGTTTTCCACTTTTATGAGGTCCTATTTATTTTGCCTTTTGCTCTTTGTGCTTTTCGTATTATATTCGACAATTCCTTTTTGGAAACTATGCCCAAAACAGCCAAAATCATGTTATATTATACAATTACAATAATCAAACAGCCTGGTATAACAACAAACACAGACCATTGGAATAGAGCTGAGAGTCCAGAAGTAAATCCACATATCTGTGGTCAGTTGATTTTTTGTAATGGTGCTCAATCCATTGGATGAAAAAAGGAGCGTCTCTTCATAAATGGTGTTGAAAAAGTGGATTTCCACAGTCAGATAAATGAAAAAGGACCCATGCCTGTAATTTGTACGATGTGTTCCTCTCAATCTACACAAGTTTCTTTACATGGAACTTCAATTGTGATGTGATATATAGGAAATAGAGGAACATGTTAAATAATACTACTAGGAGTCAATCAGACAGGAGAAAGAAAGAAAGAAAAGGAAAGAGTAAGAATGGGGAACTTTTTTCTGTTTTAGAGTCTAAAAAGACCTTAAAAACCATTTGGTAACAGCTGAGGAAACTTGAATATGGAAGACAGTAAATAATAGAAGGAAATGCTTGCCTTGGTGCTTTATACGTGGTAATAATTGTGCAGTTTTATCTTTATTTTTAGGAAATGTATACTGAAGAATTTTAGAGTCATGCCATGAAGTGAGCAATTTAGTTTTAAATAGAACAGCAAAAATGCTAGATATAGATATAAAGCAAATTATTAAATCTAGGAACCCAAGTGGCATGGTGGTTATGCGTTGGGCTGCTAAATGCAAGGTCAGCAGTTTGAAACCACCAGCCACTCCACAGGACAGAGTCGAGGCTGTCTATTCCCATGAAGAGTTCTACTCTGTCCTATAGGGTCACAATAATGGCAGTGTGGTTGTTACATAGTCTTATGTCAACCTAAGCGTATTAAGAGTGAAGGGGTAGAGTCTAACCTGTCATTCAGGTCACAGCCTAATGATGCTTCCTTGTGAGCATGGTCTTCTCAGGAGGATTCTGGGAACTTCCACTTTTTCTCCCTAGAGGTGGGCCACACTCTCTCTGCTTCGCCTTCCTGTTGACAAGCCACATCGAACTATGCGGATGGCAGCCAGAGCCATGGAGATGATTCACCACCATTGGATTTATAAGAATTTGTACCAGAGGCCTGTGATCTTCCTGTATTCGGCATCATTGGGTGTGGGTGTGTGAGTCTAAAGAGGGATTTATGGACTAATATCAGACTTATGGGCTAATATTTCACTTAAGGACTTGATCTGGACTGGGCTGGGATGTTTTCTTAATATACAATTACTCTTTGATATTAAGCTCTTTCTTATACACATATGAGTGTCCTTGGATTTGTTTCTCCTGTCAACCCGGAATAACACAGGTAGCAAGTCAAAATGTCAATCAAAAAGTAGTTTTAACCAGATGGAACACATATCTGTAGTGGTAAAACTATGTTTTATTTCTGCAATCTGTATATCACAGGATTTATAGGAGACTGTCTCAGAAATGTTTCCTAAAAACTGAAGGTGAATGGTCAAATGGATTATTTAATGAAGCGATTAGTTTTGGAAATGGGTATATTCTAGACTTCACATACACCATATTTTTAAAAAGATGTGACTATAATTTTACCACTTTCTGCAATATCCTTAGATTTCGATCTTTTAGTGGTAGTTTTATTAGCTATGGAAAGTTTCCTACACATAACTCCAGGTTAGTGAGGGGGTTCTATATTTAATCAGGGACTTACCATAGTGTTTAGCTGCAAGTGAATTACATTAGACCAAACATATGCTTGGCACTTTCTATGGTTTGCACAAGAAACTCTGCTACCAAAAATTTTGCTATGATCATTAGTCATAGGACTGAATAAGATCAGAATATGATCATTAGTTATATTACTGAATCAAAATGTACACAACAGGAGGCTTTTCAAGTACATCTATTCCCCAAAGAAGTAACCATCTAAAACAGGGGTAGGATAGCTTTTTTTTTTTCTGCTAAACCCTTAGCATTTAGACACATAACTTTATTGTCAACTTAAAAATTAGCTTGCTACACTTGGTCAAACATTTAATTAACTCACCACCACAAATGTGATGGTTGGAGTTGCTTCCCTTTGGGGAGATGTATGATGTTAGCTGGAATTGATGATTTCTTGGGCCTTACACAGTTCACAGGCTAGACATCCCCCCCTGCCCCCCAATCTAAAACAATGAACGGTGAAGTTTACCCAATAAAAAGATTCAAAGACCATTAGCGACCTGGACATCCAACTACTTTTCTGGTATTTAGCATAATGCTCTCTTTAGCTCAGTGCTCTTACTGAGCTAAAGCATTTAGAACCTGAATATGATTACTCCTCAATATCCAATACATTACTCTTTGCAAATATATAGTTACTTAAGTAAAGTAGAAACGTGTAAACAAATAAACAGTAGTGACTCTAATGTATTATTCAATCTATATCATGATTTGAAGGAGATCATTGTCTGCTGTAATTTACTCACAAATTCTCAGTACCTTTTCTGTGTCCTGGTTGTCTTTTCTTGTTGGTGATGTCGGTACATATAGATTGATTTCATCATCTCCTGTGTATTGTTTGCCAAACAGAAAATCCTGTAGTTGATTCTGTGGGAAATGCACAGTGCCGAATATGAAACTTCCCACGTAACTCCACTTAGTGACAGTACACAGTACCTGACATGTGCTTGGCTCTCAAAAAGTATATATGGAATTTAACTTCATAACAAAAGCTTTCGGTCGGTTTCCACAGGCACCTGTACTTATAGACTTTTTCAAGTTTTGAGTTAAAAAATGACCTTGGAAAAGTAGTCTGAACCTTTTATTTATGGAAGATAAAAATGAAAGGCATACCAAGGGCTCAAGTAAAAAGAAAATGCTTTGAAAATGATGATGGCAACATATGCACAAATGTGATTGATACAATGGATGTATGGATTGTTGTAAGAGCTATAAGAGCCTCCAACAAAATTATTTTTTAAAAAGAAACAAAATGAAAGACAAAAGAAAGTCTTACCTAAGATCTCACAGTGAGTCACATAAAAATTTTATCATCTCATATGTTAATGATTTATGGTCTGATGAGAATAAGTAGTTTTGAGGTAACTGTAGACTCTGAGAACAGGTGAACTAGTGAAGAAGGGATGGTAAAAAAAAAATGCTGTACCTTCAAATAATCCACAATAAATGCTTCACTTTGGAATGCATATAAGTAAACTTGACATTCCAAACAGTAAAATAGATTAAACAAAATAACAGCTTCCATGCAATGATAAGTTATAAAAGGGTATTTACTTCCACTCTACTCCACTATTTAATATTTCTGCATCATCCTATTTATTTTACAGGAGTGAACAGTATGCGTTCCTGCACACACACACATACATTATTCCTAATGAGCTATCTACACGAGGGGTATGAACTGAGAGAACAAAGTCCAAACGATTTGAAAAGAGCCCTGGTGCCACTCTAGTTAAGTATCTGCTGAGAATCCAGCGGTTCCAAGGAAGAAAGACCTGGAGACCTACCCTCAGGAAGATCACAGCCTACGAACGCCCACGGGGCAGTTCTGCTCCATTGCATAAGGTCCCTTACGCATCAAGTTTGACTTGATGGCACCTAACCACAATGAGACCTCAAGCCACTTTTGTAACAAACACTACTCACCCAGAAATACTACACAGAAAGTAATGAAATTTGCCAAAATCCTACTGATATGATTAACCATGATTCTAAATATAAGTAGTTAATCAGAGGAGAAAAGAAAAACAATTTAGAAAACCTAGGATTTTGTTGTTCAAAGTATAAGTAATTTCCCAATCTCAAAATTAAAAGTTCACTGCACAAGGAATCTACTGTTTAAATTTTGAATCGAGGTAGTTCTCACCTTTGAGGTTGATTATGTTTTCAGAAGAGAGGGCAAAGGCAAAGTTTTAGTTTTCCATAAACCCAATGTTATTTTATTAATGGGAACATATTATCTAATATTTAAAATAATTTTCCTCTTTAATTACATGTCAAAAATTGATTGTTCTCGATTAATGTGTGCCAAATATGGTCCCAAAATGCCTGAGATCCCCAAGAGCATTTCAGGGGATCAGTGAGGTCAGGTCTGCCCTCTTTCAACTGCAGACTGAGCTGAAGCCAAATTTATTTGATCTGCTTCAGTCAAAAAAAAGAAAAAAGACCCATACTAAATAGAAGGGAACATGAAAATCCAACTATTTTCTATTATATATGGGAGTAAGGATGTTTGTAAAAATGTAAACCAATAAAACACATTTGGAAATGTTTTCTTTGCTTTTGGAATGGCTGGGGGCTTGACTCGCCAGCCCTACAGTGAACAGTCCCGTACTGACCCCCGAGTGCCCCAGGGCTCCTGTTGCACCAGACTCATGCGATCCTTATGCTCGTATTTACTGAGAATATCTACTCTACTTTCCCAGCCCATTAATGGAATGTACGAAAATCAGACTTCCATTGCTCGCTTATTAGCAGAAAAGGATAATGGCTGCTATTTCACTCAGAAAAAAACCAAAAACATTTAGCAGTTTGAATTCTAAGCTAATCACAGAATTTCCCTTAGTATATGCCTTTCATTTTAGCACCTACATCTTCCCAACCCATCCTTAATATTGTAACTGCGTACACACACACACACACACACACATTCTAAGTTTCATTTCTCATTACAGCTTCTCTTATGTAGCTCTACGTTCCAGGCCATCTGTTGTTTAAGTATTACAGTTATTTGAACATTGTTACCTTCTATAGGTTATTAAGGTGGCACAATCAGGTTTTATATTTCCTTACTTTTTATTTTATGCACGATCATCTTTTAAGAAACTTCAATTTCATTCCTGATGTTTTACAAAGGAGCCATGCTGACATTTGGAGACAGCCTGAATTTGAATTATCTCAGATACTACTACTATATATTTTGTATCCTGCATACCTATATATGTTGATCTACTTAAATGAGGATACTTAGCTGTACAAGTTGTGACTTAGACTAGTATTTGAAAACCCCAAATACTGCAGGTGGATTATACCCTCACTAGTTTACCCAAAGATTCTCTTGGTTCTTCCGACAATCTAACATTTATTTTTGATTAACCTCTCTAAATCAACTCTGTGAATCACAAGCAAGTATAATTTAGCTAAGGAAGAAAAATAGAAGTATTTTAACCCTTATTAAAAGTATGAGGGTATCCAGGAGTGTTTTGAAAAAAGTACTACAAGACCCCCGTGTTAGCCCAATGCAGCAGAGAGAGTGAGCTCCCTGTCAACCCTCTCCTTCCTTCTATGAATTTATATTTTTTGCATGCATATTATTTTGCATGTTACTATCTTAAATAAAGAGTATATTTTCCCCGCTCACTAACAATGTGATGTGGCCATTGCTTTGGGCAATGAAATAGAAGCAAAAAAGACCATGTGTTCATAAAGAGAAAGGGAGGGCTGTTCTCCCTAATAGCTTCCTGAGGTAAAGGAGAATAGAATGGAAGACGCTTCAACCAGCCATCTTGGACCAAAGGATGATTTTGAGGGCAGACTAAGAACTAAGATGGTAGAGCAGTGTGGCAGTTACATAATCTACTGTCAAGTTGAGAAAAGTGTGTCGTCTAGCCTGTCAATCAGGTTACAGCCAATGAAGCCTCTGTGTGGGCATGGCCTTTTCTTGAGGATTCTGGGAACTCCCATCTTTCTCCCTGGAGATAGGACACACACACACTCTCTGAGACATTCCTGTTGACAAGCCACATGGAGCGACGCTGATGGAGCCAGAGCTGTGGAGCTGGAGGAGCCACATGGAAACCCACCCCAGCACTGAGATGCTTCCACCGCCACTGGATCCACAAGACTTTTCACCCATTGACCTGTGATTTTCCTGCATTCAGTATCATTGTATGTGTTGCATGAGGCTGAAGAGGAATTTATAGGCTAGTATCGGACATATGGGCTAATATCAAACTTATGGACTTGATCTGGACTGGGCTGGGATGTTTTCTTAATATAAATTGTTCTTTTATATAAAGCTCTTTCTTATACACATATGTGTCTAAGAATTTGTTTCTCTAATCAGCCCGGACTAACACAAGCAGATAAAAGAAAAAGCCTGAGTCTCTGATAACAACTGACCAAACGGGCCAGTCCTATGCTGTTTGCCTTTCAACAACTCCTTTTTATAGAAGACAGAAATAAACTTTCAGTTTCTTAAAACCACTGAGACTGTGGAGGTTTCTATGATGAAGAGCCAAAGCACTCTCCCCAAGTCTCTGGAATAAAGTAAAATATTTGAATACCTTAGAAGATACAATAAACATTTCCTTCTAATTCCAGCTGCAAATATTTAGTCATGACCACCATTAGTACCTATTAGCACTCAGTAAATGTTAAGCTAAAGAAAAATATTTTTAATACTTCATGGAAAATCCTGAAACACTTTATTTATTATAATGTAGACAAAACCCAACTGCAAAGGATGATATTCAACTTACTGTTTAAATGTATAACCTATATAAAAAAGTAAGGCGACAACTACATGCCAAAAAAGCAATAGTCTAACAAAGAATATTTACTCATGTATATTACATAGTATTGCTCATATTAAATAAGCTGTACCTCATCTCAGCAAAATAATTATACATGCTATTAATCCACAGAAAGTCACAGTAGCTATTTATCCAACTAACGTCAAATAAACCCACACACATTAAACTAAGAAAGAAAATTGGAAAACAATCTCCTCTGAAATTAACAAAAGAAATCAGGCATCTGTGCTGGCATTAAAACTTTGATCTAATAAAAAGCTATTCTTATATTTTGAGCAAATTAACAGTAACACAAGTCTAACAAAATTTACCACCAGAATATTTCTTTCAGGTAGCTAAAATTTCCATTCTTAACAAATCCCAAAAGCAAAAGCATAATTAAATTACTATAACTGGTGGCACTATATAGCTTATAATGAAAACAAACCTAGCTGAATTCAATCTGACGCCCCTAGAGCTGTTAAGATATACTTACAGGAGACAGCTTGTCATTCTTTTCACAGGTAGAAGGCAAAATCTTACATTTTTTATAAACATCAATCAGATCTAGCATGTTACTATTCTTCAAGAAATCATCATAATTCTTCCTAATGTCCGCATAATGGTCAATCACTTCCATATTTCCAACCGGTAAATCCAATTTCTCATGTAATAAGTATTTCCAGGTCAATAACACATCACTGAGAGAGACCGTAAATTCTCCACTGTACTGAAAGAGATGATAAAAATAAAAAGATAAGGTTCAATGCCACATGTTTAACATCACTGAGAAGAAAAATACGAACTTAATTTTGATATCATAAAAATCAATACTAAATTCTAGTGGGTGTGAAAAAAACCACACAAGTTGAATGGGGGAATAATTTTAGAAACTGATGAAAAGGAAATGATTTTGATGACTTTATATAAATTATGAAAAACTAAAGGCAAGTTTGAAAAGTCCTGGTGACACAATGGTTAAGCATTCACCTGCTAATCAAAAAGTCAGAGGTTCAAAACCATCAGCCACTCTAAGGGATGAAAGCTTTGGCAATCTGCTCCCATGAAGATTGAAACCTATGGGGCAATTCTACTTGGCCATGCGTTGGAATCAACGAAATGATTCACATACAAGGCTAGTTTACATAGGACAATTTGGCAAATATTTAACTATTGCTTTTTTTTCCTGAAGTTCACTAAATTTCTTTGGCCCACAAGTGAGGTCAAGAAGAAGCTGATATATAAACACTAAGGATTACAGAAATAATTGACTCTCCTAGTATTTTTGTTCCTATTAGTATTTTGGGCTAATATATTTGTGATCCCTTATTTAAAACTGTCAATTCCATAGTGAATTCTCAGATTCCACATTGTTCCAAGTGTAAGTTTTACAGCATGGCCATAAACATTCCATTTTTAAATATTCATTTTGTCACTGTTCCAGAGGAAACAATCCATGCTTAAGCCTTGGACCACAAAATCCTTTTGATTCTTCCCTGTTCATGAAAACATGAGACTGCACCGAGCAAGTGCTAAAAAGCCATAGTGGAGCTTCTCTCTGCATACATTATTGCATGGTACTCATCAGGCAAGAGTGTTTGCTTTTTTTAACCCTGTTTTTCGGACTGGTCTGCTATTTTTCCTAGGAGAAATAAAACAATGTAATCTGGTTAAAACGACACATAGTTGTTTAGAGATCCACAGCTGTTACCAAGATTTCTGCATATCAATATCTTATCTAACTAAAATACTTTCTTTAAGGTCTCATCTTCAATTTCCACATGGTAAATTCTCTCAGATAACATGGCAACAGTTCTTACAGTAACTGCATTCTACTCCCGTATTAATACCCTATGTCTCATCAGTGAAGCAGCCCTGGTGTCACAGAGGGTTTCAAAGGGGGCTGCTAACCACAGGTCAGCAGTTCTAAATCATCAGGCACTCCAAACAGAACATTCGGATGAGGTTTTTCACTGCTGTTAAGAGTTACAGTCTTGGAAACCCACCAGGGCAGGTTTGAGTCTGTTCTAGGGTGGCTAAGAGTCGGAATCGACTTGTTGGCAGTGAGTTTGACTTGACTTTTAAATATTAACAATAAAGGAGCCCGGGTGGCATAGTGGGTGTCGATTTAACAGGCTCAGTTATTCACAATTTCAAAACTAAATAATTATATCTCAAAATTGTCTAGAAATATTTTTGGTATGACATCCTTCATGTTAAAAGTAAATTAAGATTGTGCATAATGTAAATGTACCATTTATTCCCACACTGTTGGATTATAACTAGTGAAAGTAAAACTATACCAGTTCTTGATCTTGTGAGAAAAGATTTTGACTAGAGTAACAGTGCTTATACTGGGATTGTAAAAACATTTTAAATCCAAAAGAAAATGTACTCCAAATATCAGTTTTCATGATCAGGTGCACACGATGCGAGCATAGTCTATTATTCAAACCAGTAACAACTGATTGAGAGAGTCTGGGGTCAAATCAGAAAGTGTTTTGCTAGGAAAATATGCCAGCTGGCTAATATTTGAAGGAAGTTCAAAATGTTCAATGCTATAATTCTCAGATGGACATAAGAAGTGCGTTTCCCAAGAGCTGAATGAGAGTAACAGTTATACATTTTTTCAGAGCACTTGTACCAAAGTTAGTTTTTATTAAAAATTAAAACTCTGAAATAAAATTTACATCGCTATACAGCTGGACTGACTGGTGTTACGGTTACAGAAAAAATAGCAGATCCATTTATATGTACTAATGGGCTGGGAAAAGTGCTAAAATCCCTTGAGTTAGTTTCCTTAGCTATATAAAATGAGATTGTACAGATTAAAGAACAATTTAATTATCTAATGATAGATCATGAAGACATGTTTCCTTTCTCTTGACATAGGCAAAGTAAAATATCAGGTCACTGTTAAAAAACAAAAGTATCAGATTTCCTCTATCAGGTTTCAGAGGCTGTAAATCTTTATTGAAGCAGAGAGCCTCAACCTTCCCAACAGAACACTTGGGTGAGTTCAACCATTAGCCTTGCGGATGACAGCCCAACGCTTACCTGATAGAGCCGCCAGGACGCCTTAGATTTCATATACCCACTGCCAAGTTGATTCCAATGCACAGTGACAGAGCAGAACTGACCCTTTGGGTTCCCGAAACTGTGAGTCTTTACAAAAGCAGAAAGCTTCATCGTGCTCCTGAATCATGGCTGGTGGTTCGATCTGCTCCCCACACGACCTCACTCCCTGCCGTCAAGTCGGTCTGACTCAGAAACTCTGGTGGTGCCGTAGACTACAAATTGGGTTGCTAACCACAGGTCTGTGGTTCCAACCTGCCAGTATCTCCACAGGAGAAAGATGCAGTCTCAGAAATCCAAAGGGGCAGTTTTACTCGGTCCCATAGGGTCAATAGGGAATTCCATATAGTCATGTTTAAAATCTACTTATGTGATGTGGCAAAGATTGCACACCTCTTCTTGAAGTTCGTGAACTATTGTATGATAGGTGAATTATCTGACAACCAAACTTTGGGGGAAAATAAAGAAAAAAATCAACTTAGGTGTTGAAATTGTTTTCCATGAAGTTATAAAATGAATACATGCATCTGTTGTTTCAATGGAATATTTGTAAACTTCTAAATAAAGGCTGTGTGGATCATAGCAAACTATGGATCACCTTGAGAAGAACAAGAATTCCAGAACGCTTCACTGTGCTCATGCAGAGCTGGTGCATGGGCCAAGAGGCAGTTGTGGGAACCGAACAAGGGAACACTGAGTGGTTGACTATCAAGAAAAGTGTGTGTCAGGGTTGCACTCTCTCACCGTACTTGTTCAGTCTGGAGGCTGAGTAAATAACCCGAGAAGCCGGACTATCTGAAGACTAACGCATCCGGATTGGAAGAAGGCTCATTAAAATCCGGTGACACGTACGCGGCACAACCCGGCCGGCTGACAGTGAGGAGGACTTGAAGCACTTGCTGATGAAGATCACAGACTGCAGCCTTCAGTATGGATTGCAACTTGCCATAAAGAAAACCAAAATCCTCAACACTTGATCATTAGGTAACATCGTGATAAGTGGAGAAAAGATTGAAGTTTGTGAAGGACGTCGGCTTGCTTGGCTCCACAATCAATACTCACGGAAGCAGCAATCAAGAGATCAAAAGGCAATGAGCATTGGCTAAGTCTGCTGTGTAAGACCTCTTTAAAGAGTAGAAAAGGAAGGCTGTTACTTTGAGGATTAGCGTGCACCTGATTAAAGCCATGGTATATTCAGTCAACCTCATATGCACGTGAGAGTTGAACACTGAATAAGCAAGGCCAAAGGAGAATTGATAGGATGAAAAACACTGAAAGTACCATGGACTGCCAAAAGAACCAAGAAGTCAGTATTGGAAAAAGTACAGCAAAAATGCTTCTTAGAAACAAGGATGGCGACAATTCATCTTAAATACTTTGGACATGCTGTTGGGAGAGACCAGTCCTGGAGAAGGTCTTCGTGCTTGATAAAGTGGAGGGGCAGAGAAAAAGAGGAAGGCCTTCATTCAACAAGATGGACTGACACAGTGGCTGCATCCATGGGCTCAAACAGTTGTGTGAAGGACCCAGAACGGGACAGTGTTTGTTTTTGTTTTACACAGGGTTGCTATGAATCGGGACCAACCGGACAGCACCTAACAACAGCAACAATACTTAAGGAAAAAGACTCTCCTATATGATCTCCAGACAAAGGCATGCTCCAAAGCCAATTCTGAAAAAAGAAAGGTCAAACTATTCTTTACCACAGAAAGGAGTTGTAAGGGAAATGGATCTGATAGTCATCAATACATCTGTAATAGGTTAAATTATAAGGAGGAGGGGAAATCCCTCATAGAATTCACACTAAAATATCCACCCCCTCGCAGAAAACATGCCAAAAACGGAAACCTAGAGAGAATTTTAATGTGCCTTTTATTGTACCCACGTAAGCAGATCATCAGAGTCCCTCAAAGGTGCAGTTAATGTTCTCAGCTGCAGATCTCAAAGGGTGACAATTCAAGTTCACCGCAGTGGCACTCCACTTCTGAAAAATGAGCCATTGAACACTATGGAGCACAGTTCTGCCTGACACACCAGTTCACCATGATTCAGAGGTGACTCTACAGCACCTGGTTTGCTTGTTTAAGCCACAAAACCGTTACACCACTAGACAGACTAACAGCTCTATTAGTTTTGTTTGTTTTTTTTAATTATTGTAATTAAATTCAAAGGAGAAACTATACTTTACAACACATGTTCCCATTTCAGAGAATTCAGAATCTCAATAGAACTCAAACGGGGGAGGGACAAACCAACTTCACCAGTTTCTTAGTGCAGGCACACGTTCTGAATGTGTCTGCAGTCGTGTGTGTGCCTACTGCTTCCTTTGGAATTCCGAGCAATTAAGGATACTTGAGCTAATTCTGCACGCATGGAAGTGAAATCATATTGAATTGTCACCCATCAGCCCCACCACACACAGAGAATCTGTGAAATGTTCAGGTGCAAGTCACCTCTCCTCTTCCTTCCTACCCAGTCTGAGCTTTCACAATGGATTTACACATAGGAAGCTTTCCGCCAATGAGACTGAGCAACTTGCCTGAGGAAACATTGAGTTGGTGGAATATTTCAGTATGTCAATTGCTTTTTACAATATGAACAATGCTTTCTTTCAGTATACCTACATACCTACATATATACATATATAGATAGCAG